TTTCCAATCGTCTGGTAGGGTTCCAGTAGAAAGTGACGTTTGGAAGAGTGCTCCTAAAAGTTTGCTGGATATGTCTTTTGTTAATTTCAGCAATTTTGTGCTTATTCCGTCCGGAGCAGGGCTTGAATTTGTTGGCAGTCGATCTATTGCATTGGCAACTCCCTCACTGGTGATGGTAAAAGTGTCCATTTTAGCGGACGTTGAGGATATTAACATATTATTAGTCAACGGCATTTCATCCGTGAAGACGCTACCAAAGAAAGAGTTAAATGCCTTTGCTGTCTCCAATGTGCTCAAACCACTACCCTCTTCTGAAAAAACAGAAAGGCGTAAATTCTTTGGTTTAGGGTTCACCACACTCCGAAATATCTTCGGGCTGGTTTTCAAGATGTTAGACAGGTCACTGTTAAAAAATTTAAGTTTGGCTCTCATGATTTATTTTTTGCAAGACCTTGAATGTGAACGATAAGACTCCCAGTCGTCCTGGGCGTCCGAACGCTTGGCGTTTGAATAAAGTCTCTTTTTTCTTATTTATACACCGTCGCACAGTTGTCGTGAACCGGGGATTACTAGCACATGGTAAAATATAAATTTTGGGGATACACATCTCTTTCACCTCAATCATTTTATTTCAGAAAGACACCCAGCTGTCATTTACTGACCGGCAATTAAAAAAATTAAAGAAAAAATCGAAAGAAAATTTAGACAACATATTTGACATTTTGGAAGGTCGGCCCTTGTATAATCAAATATCTGTTTCTTCAGAACGTCACTTCTCTGAACTGGGGTAGTCTCAGTTGAAGCTGCCAGTGAGGTAACTGACTATAATGTGAAGTCAGTATTTTTTAGTGACCACAGCTTAACGACAGTTACTTTGAGAAACACCACGCAAATTTGAAATACGTTTAATTGAGAACTATGGATATTAATGTTAAACTGCTCAAAGATGATATTTTTGTTGAGCGGGTCACACAGGTTGTAGAAATATTATCAGCGAGGACACAGCCCAGCCTTTTAGAGCAATGGGAATGCTTTAAACAAGAAGTAAAGTTAAAGAGCTCGCGATTGAAAGATCCTCTCAGAATAATTGTTTGGCTGAGAAAGCGGAAAGAGAGCTGCACGTATACTGGCTGGAACTACTGCGAAGCGAAAGCGAGCACCCGCGGTCATGCGCCGCTGAATTAAAGCAGGTTAAAGCCAAGCTGGACAGTTTCCAGCAGGAACGTAACCGTGGAGCGGTTACGCGTTCGCGATCTTAGAAGTGTTTTTAGAGGAACAGCCCACAAGGCGCGTTTTGGGCGAGAAAAAAAGTTTGCGCTTGCAAAGGAAATTTTAGTCATTGAACACAAAGGAGTTATCAGAAATGTAAAGGCTGTAATTCAGGATGCCTTTTTGAGGCCTTATGGGACCCTTTCCGGGGGCGATAAAGGGCCAAAAAGGCCAAGCTGCTCTCAAAGACTTGCTTCGTAACGCGCCAAAATTATCGCCAGAAGAGAGAGAATGGCTGGAATGACTAATCACAGAAGACGAAATAGAGCGCGCGATTGAAACTTTGGCTATGCACAAAACGCCAGGACCGGACGGACTCAGCGGAGAGTTTTATAAGAAATTAAAAAAATTGTTTACGTCCTTTTTTGCTCGAGGTAATTCGTGAAGCTTTCGAGAATAAAACGTTGTCACATTCCTTTCTTCAAACACAGACAGTACTGATTCTTAAAACAGACGTCGTTCAGAAGCGAAAGCAAGTTAGCCGATACCCCCCAATCAGACACTGCAACCTGGACTATACAATATATGCGAGAATTTTAACTGAGACTTCAAAGCGTTATTTATAAATTGGTGGGAACACACAAAACATACGGCATCAAAGGAAAGACCATTCAAAGTTACATTCATGTAACCTGCACTATTCTCGACTCTCTGTAAATCGGGATTAAGCGAACCAGGTTGCAGTTATTCAGATGGATCTAAACAAAGCTTTTGACCGCGTACGTCACGATGTCCTTTGGAGAATTTTAGCTCACGCGAATGTGGAAAAAATAGTACTATAGGGCGTCAGAATGGCGTATACAGGTTGTACGACGAAACTGGTGGTGAACGATGTCTTAAACCCCAAAATACGAGTTTCGTCTTCAGTACGACAGGGCTGCCTCTTGTCTCCTGTCATGTTTGCCTTGTACTTGGAGGCTTTGTGCCTAAGTATATTGCATAGTAAACTAGTACGCGGGTGTATCATGAGAAATGCTGCAGAAGTAAAAGTCCGCGCGTACGCGGTCGATGTAGCGGTTTTTCGTGCAGCTAAGAAAAGCGTCGGACATGCTTTAAACTTGTGCAGAACATTTTGTGACGCTACTGGTGCGGGAATTAACATGAACAAATGTAACGGCTTATGACACGGCGAGTGGGCAACTACGACTCGCCAGTTTGAAGGCCTTCAGTGGAGTTGTGCAGCTGGCAGGTATTTTGGTGCTCTCTTTCAGCACTTAAAGCTACCTTCAACTTACTGGCATAATGTTACGGCCGATTTGAAAGATTGCACAGCAAAATTGAAATTACGTGACATGTCCGTTTTTACGAGGTCCATAGCCTGTAATATTTTTTTTATTGCAAAAATGTGGTTCGTGCTTCAAGTTTTTGTGCGCGATTGAACACACAGAAAATTCACCGCATGTTTGCATTGTTTGTTTGGAAGAGCGCAGGAGAACCAATGCGAAGAGACAATCTCTTTAGACGCATATCCAAGGGCGGTCTCGGACTGCATCACCTTTTTCTCCGTCAGGTTGTCTCGCGTTTTGGTGTTGTTTTTCTTTTTTTTTCTCTACGAGACCAGACTAATCCACTTATACAGGTGATGCTTCATACAAGGCTGGTCGAACACATTCCTTCCTTTTTGTGTCTTCCCACATCGGACCTCCTGCTAAATTAGTGGGCTTCGTAAAATAAGTGGTTGATTCTTTTAAATTCTTGACAGTGAGGTACTCGCTCGAATATTTATCCACAGTTTTGTGCAAAAACTTCTACCGCTATCTTGTCGATAATTTGTTTCCGGCACAGCTGAACAGATCTCTTTATGCGGGTGAATCAGGGCAAGACGTCTTAACTTCTAGTTCGTGTGAAAAAAATGTGTCAGCCAAAACCTTTTTTTTCCGAGTACATAGTGACACGCTGCCTGTCAAGCTGTGGCTGGGCAAACGAGGCATGACCGTCACAGGGGGTGTTAACTGCCCAGTTTGCAAGGATTCCGAAACTATCGAACATAGTTTTCTGTACTGCTGGGACCAGGCACGTAGCCAGGATTATGTTTCGGGGGGGGGGGGGGGGGAGGGGGGGGGGCGCACATGACAAAATGCTGTATGAGGGGAGAGGAGGTCCCAGCAAAATAAAAGATTTCGAGGGGGGCCCAAACCCCATAGGCTTCCACCCTGGCTACGTGCGTGGCTGGGACGCAGGGTTTTTTTGCGGATATCGTTCAACGAACTTTAAAGAAAAATCTGTGCATATAGCACCCCATTCTATCCCTTTTATACCCATCGGGGCAAACGAGAACCTTCCGATTGCGGTGAGAAGCGCAGAGCAATTCTTCAGGTTAGCGCGTATTTTCATAAATGATTATGTTGCACAGGTAAAGAGTGCTTATGAACAGAGCGAATACCCGCCTGAGTGGATTGGAGTGCTTGATAGCTTCACACACATGAAAGAATGTTAATCACCGCCTGCCCATAACCATTGGACTTCCTCATTTTTAAAAGTGTAAATAGTGCGTAAATACATGTGTGTATGTGTCTGCATTCTAAATAAAGATATAAAAAAGTGCCTTGCGTGGAACAATAAAGAAAAAAAAAAGGCGCCTTGCGTGGTGTAGTTAGTAGCGTGTCTTCCTCACAATGGAAGGTTCGTGGGTTCGAATCCGCCTAAAATCTTCCAAGGTTTTAGTGAAATCATTTAAGACACGTGGCAACCTTTCATTCCCATTGCATGTCAGTTTTTAATCACTTTAATTCCATCCGTAACGTCACGCTTCAGCTGATGGTTCTGAGTTTTTTTATAAACCCGCGCGAGGTCATGTGACTGTGACGTGATGACCCTGTCGACGAATCAGGATTTTCGCGGCACGCCACTGACGCCGGATTTTCTCGTCATGCGACCGACGCCAGCTTTTCTCGTCACGCCACCGACGCCGGATTTTCTGCGATACAGGCTGCTTAACGCTACCGCGTTAAAAAACAAACAAAAACAAAAAAACGGAATTTTAATTTTAATAAAAAATGCACCTCTTTACTCTTCTAAGAGTCATTCTGGGCAGGTTTTGTTTGTTTTTGTGCTCAATTTTTAAATTGGGCTACAATTACCGCCAGAACTGACCAATGAAAATCCTAAAAATATAAATACGAGGATCACAAGTGACGTCACGAGGGCCACAAGGGAGAAGAAAGAGGCGTAAAAGGGAATTTCTTCCGCTATATCTAGCGGAAAAAATTCCTTCTAAAAATAGCAGAAAAAATTCCCCGCTAGGTTTAGCGGAAACAATCCCCCGCTTAATTTAGCGGAAAAAATTCCCAGCTAAATTTAGCAGGAAACGTTTCCCGCTAAATTTAGCCGGTAATTTTTTTTCGCTGAACTTAGCGGGAAATAAAGCGAAAATTTCCCGATAAATAGTTGAGCAAGTGAAGAGGAGGGGGAGGAGGGGCATACGCTCCCCTCCGTACCCTCTCCTCCTCCTCCTTCTCCTCAAGAGCTGCGCTCTAATTCGGCATTACAGGGAGTTGTAAACGTATTTTATTTTTAATTGCGTTTTTTTTAATATTTTGACAAAGAAACGATAGTGAATTCCTGGGTACGTAAAAAAACGTGCTTCCCGCTTTTATTGTGCAACAGAACATTTTTAAGGATGGGCTACGCCAGAACCTTAGACTTTTATAAAGTGGGGTAATTACGGCAGTATTAGGAATCAGCAGCCTCTTTCGTGCTGCGATGATCGCATGCAGGCAAGCTTCCTAAAATTAAAGTTTGGTTGTTTGTTCGGGCCTGCCACTTCGCTTTTCATTGCAGACTACTGCTCCAAAAATTAAGCTAACTGCCAGGTGAGTTCCTCCTATGAGACGGTACATATTGTCGTACGTGCCCATGCTGTCCCTGAAGAATCCTGCAATTGATAAACAGAAACAAAAAATAATGCTTAAAATCATGTTTAAGAGACATTTCCAAGAGGAATCTTGTAATATCTAAAAAGTATATTTCGTTTAGTTCAGACCACAACGTGTCATAACAAACCGCAATAAATAATGGGTTTCGAAAGTGCAATGTATTTATACGTAATTATGACGGCGATGTTTTTTTGTCTGGATATTTGTGATACGCAACCCCATATTTCAGATCACATAGTTTTATTTGTTTTGATATAACAATGTTAGACCCATTGGACTTAATGTGAAGTCAGGAAGGTTTTTTTAATGACTTTGAGGCTCCTAACTTGGTCTACTAAAGTAGGTAAGATCCTTTGCGTTTTTATATTCAATGAAAACCGGTCTTCAACCTTATCGGTTTGTGGAGCACTTGCAGCGGGCAGTTGCTGCTGGTCACACTAGGCATGGTTCTCAATGAAAACGGGGAATTTACAGGTGAAGCACCGAGGAGCAGTATTCGTCCTAGCGGACCATGACTGCTCAAATAAACTTCCAGCGTCCGCATTTACTCCACCGGCATGTTAGTGGTTGATGGTGTTCGTTACAGCGTAAAAAAGATTTCTTTCAAATATTTGTTATGTATTTAATGAGAGTGCTCCGGTTGCTCTATTGTGCTCCTTTTTTTCTTCTTTATTTTACTATTGCCTCTTCGACTAGTTTGCACGGATTATTAAGGACACACACAAAAAAATGGTAGACTCTTTGCACTTTCCGATGTTAATTTTTTTTTTTCGAGCGATGCCAGTATTTTTTTTTTTTGGTTTGGGAATAATACCAGCGGTTAAACTTGTGAGTTCCACCGTTGGCAAATTATATTCCATTGTTTCTCAAATATGCCTCTCATCAATAGGAAATAGGATACATATAGCAAGTTTATCAAGGACCACGGGCTGGGTGAATGCAGTGGACATCGAAGTTCTGAAAATAAAATTCTCCGGTTTATCGACGAAACGGACATTTTAATGAAAATCATTGATTTTATTGCTTGCGTTTTTATTAATATATTTGTCCCGTGCACATTATTTGAATATACAGGGTGTTTCAGAGAACGCAGGCCAAATCACTCCTGCGAAGACTACTCATCGCAACGAAAAAAGGCTTGTGGCGTTTTGGTCCTGGGCCAGGGGCCCATTTATCAAAAATGTTAAAGTCCGGGATAATTAAGTTGTTAATTATTTTTGCGTAATTAACTTCTTAATATTGTGTTTAAGGGCATGGTTTAAATTAGAAAATTGCTCAGCATCATCGAAAAACACTAAATCAACTAATTGCAGAACGATAGAAAGCACACGAAGCATCTTCCGGCTTTCTAAAAACAGCACAAAATCGACAGGTTGTTAAGTTTCGGTTTGTTATCGGAGCGCATCTCAGCCCCGGTGGCACCGCGCCCCGTGGAGAGATAGTGCAACCAGCCTCTGCTGCGTCGCGCGATGACAGCGCAGCAGAAGTTGGTTGCACTATCTCTCCACGGGCGCGGTGCCGCCGGGGCTGAGATGCGCTCCGATAACAAACCGAAACTTAACAACCTGTCGATTTTGTGCTGTTTTTAGAAAGCCGGAAGATGCTTCGTGTGCTTTCTATCGTTCTGCAATTAGTTGATTTAGTGTTTTTCGATGATGCTGAGCAATTTTCCAATTTATACCATGTCCTTAAACACAGTATTAACAAAGTTAATTACGCAAACAAATTAACAACTTAATTATCCCGGACTTCATTAATTTTTGACAAATGGGCCTCTGGCCCAGGACCAAAATGCCGCAAGCCTTTTTTCGTTGCGATGAGTAGTTTTCGCAGGAGCGATTTGGCCTGCGTTCTTTGAAACACCCTGTACCCAACACCTAGGAATTGTGTAATACTTTATCTGTATAAGTAAATTAATAACGACTTCAGATGCAGGTCATTATACAACACTTGCATGAAAATTGAATTATAAACGGCCTGAATGGCCAACATAGGCCAGCGTCTAACGACGATGTGAAATGCTGCACTCACCGAAAACCAACGGGCCGACCAATATTCCTGGAATGCTGGCTAGCGAGCAGAAGCCGTAACAAACTGCGAAGAGTTGAACATCGACGTAATCGGACACTAGGACAATCTCCATTGTCAGCAGACACCCTAGGGCGATTCCAAAGACAACGCAAGTCGGCAGAAGCGTCGCGAAGGACGTCGTCTGCGGTAAAGCCATTGTCGACACGCCCATCACGCAGAAAGAGAGCGTCACGAGGGTGCCCCGCCGTATATAGTTCCGGTCTGCTAGCAGCGGCAGGATCATGCGACCGATAAAATCAGCCGGTGATATGTAGGTTATGACGGACGAGGCGTCAGCCAGCGACGAGCCTCCATCCATGGCAAAGTCGACTATGGTAGTTAGAAACGTGAATTGGGAGATATGAACAACCACACTGCAGAGAACTATTAAATAAAAATACGGGTTCCGAAACATGGTCAGTAAATGACTGACGTTATCGGGAAGGTCGCTGCTATGCAAGCTCTTTGATTTAGGAGGCTCATTTTGGTTGTTTGCCATATTTACAGAATGAGTCGTGAATACATCTGTTTTGTTAATAGTTTTTAGAGGTGGCTTTCTCACAGTCCACGGTGGCTCTTTTAGTAAGAGGCAAAGGACTGTCGCATGAAGTGCAAGTGCACCGTAGATGAAAAGGGTGCCTCTGAAACCGTACGTTTCTTGAAGAAATACGAAGACAGGAGGGAACACAATGCCGGCTGCGGTCTCGCCCGCACGTGCCAATCCGTTCGCGAAGCTTTTGTATTTGTCGAAATACTTGAAGAGGGCAAGGGCAGTTGTGACGTACATTGCACCCATTCCGAAACCTGTTGAAGGAAAAAAAAAGTAGCAATTTCAAACCATTTTCGCGAAAGATTTGATGCGATAATGTGAGGCCATTACCGTGAATCGCAAACGCAACCGTCACCCAGGTGATGTCCACTGGAAAGGCTGCAGCAATTATGCCAGCCCAGAGGCATACGCTCCCAGCAAGGGCCACGCTTTGGGCTCGAAACCATCGCAGCAGCAGTCCCACCAAAATGGCTGGATATAAGAGACCCCAACTTAATGACTCAACCTGAAAAATCTTAGGATGTGAAAAGCAGGTGTTTTTTTTATTTTATCAATGTTATTGCGGGAGCAATTCTACAGCTGTAACCTACACGTAAATAAAGTAAATGCAATCGAACTGCGAAACATGTCTAAATTAAGATGTTTGTATTTTTCTGCACACTTTTTTAACGTTTTGTTGAGACGTAATTAGAATTGTTTTTTTTTTTTTTTAAATATTATATTACTGTATGTGATACGTGGGAAACCACTGAAGAGAAAGAGTTCCGCGTATTAAATTCCGAATCTATCTGAGACCAACATCCAAGAAAAAAATAGGTCGAGTGTTTTTAATTGTAGAAGCGAATATTGCGTCCTGAACAAGCACGGTTCTCTCTTGTAGTAATCCATACGAATCTAAAGTTGGACAGCTCGTAAAAGCTTTAGATAAGGGTTGTCATCGATTCTGTTGTTTTTTGATGGAATGTCTGACAATACACAGATAGAATCAGGAGCCCTTCAAATGAATGACGAATAAAATTTCAAGGTTTGCTAATTATAACTAGGGTTCCGCGTTTTCGGTTTCTATTATTTCAAAATTCGGCCTACTTTTTTCGGTGTTTATTTTAAAATTCAATTTTCGGTTTTTTTCGGTGTATATTTATGCCCAAAAGAGCTTATCGGCTTCTTTCGGTGAATTAAAATAAACACTAACGGACACCGGATCAGACGATCCTTGTAGCTTTGATATTTGTGATCACTCAAAGAATAACTGCAAAAATACATTGAAAAAGAAATCGTCATTTTATTTGGCAAATGTGTGCAATTGTAAAAGAAACAACAAAAAAAGACGGAAGTGCAAACAAGTCAGATATGAACCCTATGCCCGAAACACATGGAACTTTAGCTTCTGTACATCGGGATTACGTGATCCTATTATAGAACACACACATGTACTTTCCCAGGTTTTCTTCGCTGATCCGCACTTTTTCTTTTTTGTTAGTATGACCCTGAGTTTCGAGAATGCCCTCTCAACGCTAACACCGGACACTGGCGGGCTGAGGAGCTGAAGCGCTGCCGGAGCGAAAATCGGCCAATCAACCAGTTGTGACCGTCAAAAGAGACACGGTGCGACGTTTTGAAGCACAACACAACATGCAGAGCTTGCATCCAGTCTTCCTTACGAGTTTGAAAACAGGCTCGTACATGGCGAAGTCATGGGGCATTTCGGACTTCACGTTCCTATCGATGATGGGCGCATTAAACCATAACGTCATGAAGGCATCCGTGTATCCCATGCATTCGGACACGTTTCGGTCGGCACTGTCGTTTTACTTTTTCGCCACGGCTCTGCGGTACGACTGAAAGGTCAAAGTGACCATTTCCGGTTAAAACTGAATTTTAGAAAATGAATTCGACGTACTTTTATTGGTTTTTATTGGTTTAAGTAAAAAATGGCGAACCTACAAACTGACCTTTTTTGGTTAAAACCAAATTTCTGAAAATGAATTCGGCGTACTTTTATCGGTTTCTATCGGTTTAAACCGAAAACTCCGAATCCTAATTATAACTAACAAAAAGTTGTAAAATTCCCACTTGTTCAATTCAGAGTTTTGTCTACTAAATGTTGTATTTTAAATGCTACGACTTCCGCAAAACGTTCGCAGGCTGAAATGGCAAACATGATCCCCGATATCTGACCTGCACCCAGGCTGAATGTCACACGAACGGTAGTGGGCCAAGAAGCGTGTTCTCGATCGGTGTCAAACTCATCCATCAGCCCAACGAGAATGAAGCCAGAGTTCTTGAGCGAGACGGTCGCCACGAAGAGTATAAGAAATGTGATTACGGCTACATGCCAACAGGTGTCCACATTTTGAATATTTTGTTTTGACTTGACAGCTCCTAACGGTGTAGTTATTACAGTGGGCATGATAGTGCGCCACCTGAAAAAAAGAACAACATATTAATGCATATTTCAACTAGTTTGATCACTATTCAGAGATGATGGACACATAGAGACAAGTGTTAATGATCGCTCTTGGAGTGTTAAGCACATTACTGGTGAGCTGTTTTTAATGCGAGGGCCTGTTCCCGGAAGCACGTTTCTTACTTGCCTTTGAATGGGCGTTTTGAGATTTTAGTAGAGCCTTTACCGATTTACAACGAGCAGCCTTGCGGTTGACATGACTTTAATATGGCTTTCAAGGAAAAGTAAGTCACTGAATCAGAGTCTACGCGGAAAAATTACCTTGCACATGGTGACCGCGTAGCAGGCAAATAGCCCCTGTGAAGAGCTGTTAGTCTTTTGGGGTATATCATAAAAATGTAATTCAGAACTTCCAGGTCAAAGGGGGGAGGGGGGGTTCAGAAGTAAATTTAGTTCACGCCATGCTTTCATACTGATGCCTGCCGCCTTTAGTCACAAGGTGTCAACTTACTCGCTCAAAACTTGTACAGCATTCCGTCAACTCCGAGCCACCAAACGCAATTTGCCGTGAGCGCTTGCTTTGTTTTTAGTCGTGCTGGCAATTACATTGCCCCACCATTCAGAAATATGAGGTTATTATTAAGGTATATAATTTTGATTATGAGCCACTCGCTCGGAGGTGTTCATCACGGTTGACTGCACTATAGAACTTCGACACTACATTTTAAATATTTTTTATAAAGAAGCTCAATCGCCCCTCAACTATTTTTAAAAAGGGTCGTGCAACAATGTTTGGACTTCGGTCAAATAATTGCTGTAGTTACCCCTGTGCTCTTTCAGAACCTCCAGCGCGTGCAGAGTCTGCTTCAGATTCAGATGGCGACCTTAATAATGACTTAATAATAATAATAATAATGACTTTATTTTCAGTGCCCAAAAACAACCACAGCGGTCTTCACTTTGGTGCACCTGTTCAATCCTAGAAACACGTTGGTATATTACCATCACCCAAAAACAAATAAACAAACAAAATGTTTGTTTATTTGAAGGTTGGTCTGAGCGATGCGGAGAGGGGGAGAAGGAGGGCTGTTGGGGAAGGAAGAGGGGGAAAGGGGAGAAAAGGGCAAAGCTCATGCTTTGCCTTAAGGAAGTTGGACTGACGTAGTAGCAGCGGGGTGAGGATACAGGGAGGAATAGTTTTTTTTTACCTCGGGCAGATGGCGCCACTGAACCCAGAATGATGTACAACGTTTTCGATGATATAAGGTTTCGGCGCCTTTTATTATGTTCAAACGACACCATTTCTAAAATATAGCATTAGATTGGGCACATGATGGCACATCTTGCCAACCTATTTCATTGTACACAGGAATGCGTCACGCCTTATTTCTCATGGCCACCACACCGCAGCTGCAAAAAGGGAAATATTCCGCGATCTTTGCTTTGCTACTACGCAACAGAATCGCGATATTTCTAAACGATGAAGCAGTTTCTCCATCCCTTTTGGTAAGATGAACAATATAAAGATTAAAACAGAAACTTTTTTGGAAGTTGAAATTGTTGCATCGACCCTTTATGTCTGAAATAAGCACATACGCAAACAGATAAATAAAAATAATCGGAAGTTACATGTGCAATTTTTATTATCCGGCATAAATTCTGATAATCGCCTGTAGTGTAAATTATTGCATAACACACGTTTCAGTCGATGTAGTCTAATTTATGACTTAGTTTTCTTTCATCGCATTGTTATTATATCTATAGAAAATCAGCATTTTATTTGTCGAGTGCAGACCACGCGTGCAAGCTCCAAGTTATGGAAAATATAAAAAAACGTATTCCTAAGTTGTCTCACTTGTGGGAAATTGAAGAGAGCAAAAGCTATTTTTTGGCGTTTTCCATTGCCTCCCGTCCTCCCCCTCTCCTGTGGCTACACCTGGCCCCACCTAGCCTGTCGTCACGCGATATAGTACCACAGGCAGAACCGACGCCATGTCCACGTACAAACCAAAAGCAAGGGTCACGTAGCCATTTCCCCCAAAAGAAAGAACCAATGGAACCAAGGTGACAAAAGGGACAGCGGCCGGGGCTATCCCTCTTTTAGACCTAAGACATTGTTGTCAAGGGCCTCAAGGGCCTTGTTGGCGCAGGACCATGGAGACGTCCCTGGGCTGCGGAGCTGCGCTCCGTCGGCAGTGCTTGCCGCAAACCCGCCTATCACGGTGGCAAAATAAAAGGGACCAAACTTCTGCGACACCGCACCCCCGCTGAACTATCGCAACTTGGGCTCCCGGAAAAACATGACATGAGCGTTAGTAAACATTGACATGACAGCTTGTGTGAGAGCCGATTTCATTAGAAGGCGATCGATTGAAAATGTGGGAAAATCTGCGTCTCACCTGGCTTTGTTTAGCGGGAATGCTTCACGAATATAAGTTTAGACACCGTGGCTTTAGTGAAGTGAGTACATTTCAATTCCATCTGCTGCACATAAGGGGTAACAATGGAAAACACGCACCTACAGGATGAAACACCTGTGAGACGGTTATGATGAGCTTCATACGCGGCGCTTTCGGCAGCCTTGTAATGAATGAATGGATAAATGCTAACGGCTGCATTTTTTATGGCGGGCGATAGCTTGTGCCACCTAGCCTAAAGTACAAAAAACAAAAGTATTATTCCTTCCCTCGCACTTCTAAGCTCATTTGCTTCCCCTCTGTAATTTTATGACACTCACTAGGTGGTGTGAGATATCACCAGGGTGTCATTTGGGGGAGTGGGCAAAAAACTAAAAACATTATACGCCGCCTTTTCTCCGCGGCGAGGAATCTAGTTGCCATTTTTGCTTTTGTCAAACCTAGTCGGCGTTAACTCAGCACCGGGCCCACTAGGAGACAGGGACAAGGTTTGCTCCCGCACCCTCCGGGAAGGCGGGAGTAACCCTTGTCCCAAATTTTCTCCGTCCCGCCTCTCCCCAGTTGTGCTAGTATGTTGGACGCCCATTCAGTTTTTTCCTAAATAAATTACACTAGGCTTCCGATATCCTCTTTGTAATTAAAATGGACATATCATCAATTCTTCCATTCTTGTCTCCAAACCACAGCGCTTGGGCTAAATCCGTCACCCCCTCAGGAAGAGCGGGAACAAGTCTTGTGGGCCTCGACATCACGTGTTCTTTTGCTTCTTCTTCCTCTTGGCATACAACACACCCCGTAATCATTTTATCATAATTGGCCTATATGTCCTATTCCTCAATACTTCTGTTATAAACTCAAATAACAACTAGCTGCTCCGTGAGTTATCATACCAATGTTCCTGCCTTATTTCCTGTTTTCGTCCCCTATGCATGCTGGCAACACCATCCAAAGCTTTGGACCAGGTTGCCCGTGTATTATTCGTGGTCATTTCCACCGCGGAAATTGCAATTGGCCACACGAACGGCGCTCCGCCGCTGATAAAATGCCGTCGCATTGTATTCACAAGGGGGCTTTTGGGTCGCGACGCGAGCGATACAAGTTCATAAATGATACGTGTTGTTGAACCAGTGCGTTGTGTCGTTCGCCAAGGCTGGTCGTAGCAACAAGGGAAATCCTACCGGCTTCGCAGACCGAAGACCATTACAAATACACCCTTGGAATTTACCGCCTTACTTTTTCGTGCCAGGCTGACAACAGAAAAATGCGTAGTTACAATAGTACGACAAATGCGGTATTTTGAAGTTAATTTAGTTTAAGGCATATTTCTTCACGCATTAGAGGAATAATTTCTTAAAGAAATGTTTTCCAATGCCTAATATCAAGAATACGGGAACATTCGAGTTTCAAATTAGACTCGAGTATTGATACGACCAATAATTAAATTTCGCGTTCAGATTCCTAATATTCAAGTTTTTGAATATTTTGATATATCCTAGATAGTACTGATAGCAAAAATATGGGTTGATTCAGAACCGACGTTCGTACGGGGAAATAGTCCTCAGAGGCATCAGCTTAATCTAGATACTGTAGTAAAGTGGTTAGTTGGGCGAGTTGGTAATGATTGAACATGGTTAAAATTGCGCACAAATATAAAGGAACGGAGAAGAGGGAAGAGAGAAGAGACAAGCGCAAACTCACAACTCGATGTATTGAAGGAAGAAAAAAGAACAGCCCTGGGTATCAGCTCGAGCCGAGGCCACACTTGCACGGGGGCACCCGAGCACGCGGGGGACACACACCACCAACCACACTCAAACGACTGTAGAAAGGCTATTTCCTTGTCGGTTAAAGCCACAGAAGGATGGCTGACACAACGCTCGCCTAAGCGGAGTATACTAAAAGCTTCAAAAATTTCGCGAGTGTGTTTTTCGGTAAATCTGCCAATTATCGAGGTCTTTTGTAAAGAAGGCGTACACTTACACGCTTGACAATGCAGAGGTAGGTGACCCCCCACTGTTAAATTTAGAGAAAGAGAGGTAGGTGACCCCCCACTGTTGAATTTAGAGATTCTCTTAATTAAACAGTGGGGGGTCACCTACCTCTGCATTGTCAAGCGTGTAAGTGTACGCCTTCTTTACAAAAGACCTCGATAATTGGCAGATTCACCGAAAAACATACTCGCGAAATTTTTGAAGCTTTTAGTATACTCCGCTTAGGCCAGCGTTATGTCAGCCATCCTTCTGTGGCTTTAACCGACAAGGAAATAGCCTTTCTACAGTCGTTTGAGTGTGGTTGATGGTGTGTGTCCCCCGCGTGCTCGGGTGCCCCCGTGCGAGTGTGGCCTCGGCTCGAGCTGATACCCAGGGCTGTTCTTTTTTCTTCCTTCAATACATCGAGTTGTGAGTTTGCGCTTGTCTCTTCTCTCTTCCTTCTTCTCTGTTCCTTTCTATTTGTGCGCAATTTTAACCATGTTTGATCTAGATACGTCTGGTAATCACATCGCGAGAAATCAGGCAGGTAGTCACGCAGGAAGTAACACCTTGGGAAGGCATTGGACATGTGCATCCAGTCCACCTCCCATGTCTCCAGCAAGTGCGTATTTCTGTTGAAGCAAGAGAAAGGTTGCCCTATTTCCTTTCGTTTTCCAGTGATTTTCTGCCATTTTTAAAACGCGAGTGTCACTAAAAAGACAGCACGTATTACGTTTGTTTTTCGTCGAAAGCCTGCTGAATCATTTCAAATGTATCTGATCTATATTTGCCGAGTAAGACCTGATTCCGAGAAAGTTCGGGCCATCAAAGAGCTCCCCCGGCCTTAAAATTCCGTCGACGTTTGTTAGCT